TGCGTATCGGTGAGTATCGCCGTTGGCTTTTAAATGACTAAAATATTGTTGAGGAGATGTTTGACCTCAAAGCTTTAGGGATGAGGTCTTCCAGGTTCTGGTTCGTTATTTTAGTAGCAACAAAAATGTGCGTGACTAAGACCATTTCTATGTAAGACAAGGTTGGAACGGGCTTCAATAGGAATGCTTCATATGGATCCCTGCACAAGGTAACATTAAGAATAGAACGGATTAGGTTATGCATAGTTTGGACACACGTGGGCAGATCCGACATATGTAACATCTTGCCAGAAGCAGAGCAGCCGTGGAAGCAGTTGGGTAAATACGAGAGGATACACTTGGCAAGGCGAGCTGGAGTGTAGCACCAGCAAAAAAAGCACTTTGTAGGAGTTTTCTATGGCCAACACATTCCGAATGGCATGCCTATCTTAGGGGGCCAGTGAGCAACAAGTGTCAGAACGACAACTTTGTTCAAATGGACTGATTGCCATACAAGTAGAATTTGTGCTTCAGGGATGCTGGGAGTTTTCTATTGGTGTTGGGTTTCTCCTATCTGTTTTTGCAGTTGAAAGTAGTTGAAATCGTTTCATTGCTGTGGGTGTGCGTAGCCAGCATTCTCCTGCTTTCTCTGGCCTCATTATTACTCTAGGGTGTAGGTCTTTTATAAGGCTGTCAGTTATGGCCTCATAATCTCTCTGAGGTGTGGTCCCTGTAATGCTTTGTTCTGTTGGGACGAAGGTCCGGTAAGACTGCATTCTCTGAATGTGAGCTAATAATAAATAGGTCATCTTACAGGTATTCATGTTTGTGATGTCCTCAGTGGCAGTGCCAGGGCAAATCTCTCTGTGTTAAAATCTAGAGACGGTAAGGCTTAATAAAGCTGGCCATACACTGGTTGAATTGTATGCAAAAAAAAAAAATTATCGGAACGTTTGCTCAATTTTTTTTTTTTTTTTTCCTTCAGGAAACTCCATTCATTTCTAAAAGGTATAATGAGGGGAATTGATCAAAATCTGGAGTAACAGTGCATGCCAACCAATCGGCTTCTCTTTCATTTTCAAAACTTAACTGAACAAAATGAAGAGAATTGCTCCAGATTTTGCATGCTCCAGTTTTGATAAATCCCCCCCCCCCCATGTGATTGAACACATCCAGAAGCATAAACACAGTGTCTGTCCTGACAGACTGTTCTCAGTGTGAATGGAGAATAATCCTATGGCCATTGTGGGTGCATGCACTGAGCTTAAAAAGGAAAAAAATGTATTAAACCTTGCAGTGGGGCTACCCCCGGGGGGGAAAAAAATAAAGTTATATTTACCAGACCATCTGAGCCGGTTTGTTCTTGGATCGGTGTCTGGAACTTCTCTCCCCCTCTGCTGCAGCGGTGTAAGGACCCTGGTGTCATCACGCTCTATACACTGTGGGACGCTGAGAAGCATTCTATCTGTGCAGTGGAGGAGTAGACGCGCTTCAGTGATCACAGTAACGGGGAGCCAGCTCAGATGGTCTGGTGAGTATAACTTTTTTTTCTAGCACCTCCGATGTGTGCAATTCCTATCGCTCAATGCCCAAGACATGCATTTCCGGGTGCTTGGCAGGCTGTTTTATTTTTCTACATTTAGCCCTGCTGTGGGCAAGCAGGGCTAAATGTAGAGCAGGGAAGCTGCCGCTCATTTTGTATAGGTAATCTGGTTGGCTGTACAGCCTCCCAGATCACTTATATAGTGACTGCTTGTCACTCCCCCGCTGCCGCCCCCTCACCTCCGTGGTTTTTGGGGTCCCCCCCTCTTTTGGGGAACCGGGACCATATCAGTTTTTTCAGGATGGAGAGCGGGGAGCAGACCGGAGAAAGTCCATTCTCCCATCTGCTCTGTGTGATTGGTGAGACAGGAGAGCTATACTCGCAGTGCTTCCTGTCTCAGCTGTCACAACCTGGGCTGTAGAGAAGATCAAGCACAATTCTGTGCTCAGTCTTCTGTATTTGAGGGCAGGCTCCATAAAGAGAGCCTGTCACCTTCAAACGCTGTCAAATAGGGGCTTGTTATCCCCTGTGTGATAGCAATACAGTTAAGTGAAAAAAACAAACCAAAAAGTGATATAAAAAAATAATAAAATAAATTGACTAAAAAACAAAAAAGATTGGTCAGGCAGGTGACCACGCTGACCAATGAGAAGCGCTTCTTAGCGCAGTTAAATTAGGTTTTGGTTAAAACTAATTTTTGTATTGGGACAAGTAAATTGTCATGAGGGACGAGTAAATTGGGCCCTGGTTTAGGGCCCATTCACACCACATCCAGATTACCACCAGATTGTTTCCGGACCCAAAATGCATCCCAATGTATCCCTTTGCTATTTCTGGCCTCTGTTCCCACCAGCGCAGTCCATTCCAGAGCAAACCAGAAAAATACTGCTTGTCCTATTTTGTATGTCCTATTTGGTCTGTAATGCACTAGAATGCATCAAAACGCATGGAACGCACCTGTAAGACCATTTTAAGCAATTTTTTTTTTTTTTAAATCCAATCGCGGCAAAAATACAATGCACTATGTTCCAGATCTGGTCCGGAAAATGGTGTGAACCCAGCCTTAAGTACATGGACAAGTAGTTTTTAAAAAAACATTTCCACACCCCTGCACCTAGACAAAAAAACGAGCAATTATCCGTTTGTGTGGTTGTAGGCACACTGCAAGGGTTAATAAAAATCTTTAAGATGGGGAATACCATTATTTTTTATGATCTTATAGGATGCCTGAGGATGTAAACAACGATCCATCCCTGAGAGGGCCAGACAATGAGAATTTAAATTTGGGGGGGGGATACCAGTGTTTGGTTTTTTTACACCTTTTCAAGGACTGACTTTTCTTGCTGACTTGTCAACTAGAGTGACATTATGTATATTATGTCTTTCATGGTTTGACCGAAAACTGTATACTGAGACGCCGCAGACGGAGTGGATCCCGACATCGATGTCGAGATCCGCCCAGCTGCGTGAGTGACAGCTGGCTCTGCCTATCTAGAGGCAGAGCCAGCTGTACCCGCCCCCTCCACCGTCCGTTCCGCCAGTCAGCGCTGGTGGATCGGAGCGGGGAGAGGGGAATCCAGCCCCTCCCCTGTCACGGCAGAGAGCCGTGACAGGATCGAGAAGTGAGCGAACGCCGGTATGGGTTCGCTCACCTCCCGATCTTCGCGGCAAAAATACAATGCACTATGTTCCAGATCTGGTCCGGAAAATGGTGTGAACCCAGCCTTAAGTACATGGACAAGTAGTTTTTTAAAAAACATTTCCACACCCCTGCACCTAGACAAAAAAACGAGCAATTATCCGTTTGTGTGGTTGTAGGCACACTGCAAGGGTTAATAAAAATCTTTAAGATGGGGAATACCATTATTTTTTATGATCTTATAGGATGCCTGAGGATGTAAACAACGATCCATCCCTGAGAGGGCCAGACAATGAGAATTTAAATTTGGGGGGGGGGATACCAGTGTTTGGTTTTTTTACACCTTTTCAAGGACTGACTTTTCTTGCTGACTTGTCAACTAGAGTGACATTATGTATATTATGTCTTTCATGGTTTGACCGAAAACTGTATACTGAGACGCCGCAGACGGAGTGGATCCCGACATCGATGTCGAGATCCGCCCAGCTGCGTGAGTGACAGCTGGCTCTGCCTATCTAGAGGCAGAGCCAGCTGTACCCGCCCCCTCCACCGTCCGTTCCGCCAGTCAGCGCTGGTGGATCGGAGCGGGGAGAGGGGAATCCAGCCCCTCCCCTGTCACGGCAGAGAGCCGTGACAGGATCGAGAAGTGAGCGAACGCCGGTATGGGTTCGCTCACCTCCCGATCTACTGAGCCGACCTGTGACTCATTGTCTCATTGTCACAGAGCGGCTAGAACTATGAGGTGAGTGAAAAGCACTCACCTCAGTTCTCCTTTAAACTAAAAGCTAACATTGTAATTTTTTCCCCCTAAAAGGTAATACAATGTCACTGTCACTAAGTGTCACAATATTTTTTTATACTTTTTTTTTACACTTTTATTTTTAATTCTATCAAGGCATCATTGTCAATGAATCTTACTATGACACTATACTGTAAAGCTTGTGATGTGTTCTGTTGGCATATGTTTTTGCTGCGTTTCCTGTCTGTGATTGTACCTTACCATTTCCGTGTGATCCTTTTGCATCCTGTCGCTTTTTTTTTTGGACAAGCTTTATGTGAAGTAACATGTCTAGAGTGGACATTACTGTAAATTTTTATTATTATTATACAGGATTTATATAGCGCCAATAGTTTGCAAGGCGCTTTACAATATAAGGCATACATTACAGTCACAATACAATTCAAGACAAGATGGTAAGGAGGGCCCTGCCCCTGAGGGCTTACAGTCTAAAAGGGAGGGGCAAGTGATACATGAGGAGGTAGCTGCGCGGGGATGATTGTTTGAGAAAGTGATTGTTCAGTGGTTAGGTTGAGGTGGGATAGGCTTCCTTGAAGAGATGAGTCTTAAGGGATCGCCTAAAGGCAGTCAGTGTGGGAGATAGACAAGACAGGTTGGGGTAGAGAGTTCCATAGGATGGGAGACACTCTAGTGAAGTCCTGGAGGCGAGCATGGGAGGAGTTGATGAGGGAGCTGGAAAGCAGGAGGCCTTGTGAAGAGCAGAGGGGACGGTTAGGCTGATACTTTGAGACCAGGTTTGAGATATAGCCGGGGCCAGAGTTGTGGATTGCTTTGTATGCGGTTGTTAATATTTTGAATTTTATCCTTTGGGCTATAGGAAGCCCGTGCAGGGATTGTTCCAGGACATTGGTATTTTAACAACATAACAAATTGCAGTCTTCATATTTCTCTCAGGAAATATTTACCTGTTCTCCAGTACGTAATTGTAAAAGAAAGAAATATTGCTATCAGCATGTTCCCTTCAGCCAATTTTTTACTTTTGTGTCATCTTCCTCATCAGTTTATTAATAATGGGTCTTTTCTTTTTTTTTTTCTTGTAGGAAAGATGATTTCAGAAGGAGGTTCGTTTATGCGAGGAATTTTCATAGGAAGTGCATTCTGCATAGTGATTACTCTTTTAGGACAAATTAAATGGAGTCACGAGCCCACTACACCCCATGAGCATCATCACATTCAAGCCCCTAATAAAGAAGAAGTTCTCAAACTGATGGGGACAGAGAAGATGGAATTAAGTCGGAGCATACGAGTGTACTGTATTCTCCTTGTCAAACCAAAAGACTTGAGCCTCTGGGCTGCTGTGAGGACCACCTGGAGCAAGCACTGTGATATGGTTGACTTCTACAGCTCTGAGCACATGAAGGTGTTTGACTCTATCGTTCTTAACAGTGATGATATGTGGGTTATGATGAGAAAAGCTATCAAAATGGCATATGAGAAACATAAAGATGAGTATAACTGGTTTTTCATCAGTCAGCCCTCCACCTTTGCCATTATTGAAAACCTGAAATATTTCCTTCTGAAGAAAGACCCATCAGAACCTTTCTATATCGGCCATACTGTGAAAGATGGAGATTTGGATTATGTAGATATTGCAGGTGGCATTGTGCTAAGCCTTGAGTGCGTAAACCGGTTTATTGACCTGATGAATAAACCAGACAAGTGTCCAGAAACAGGTGGCATCATATGGAAGGTCTCTGAAGACAAGCAGTTGGCAATGTGTCTTAAGCACAAGGGTGTGCTGGCAGAAAATGCAGAAGATTCTGAAGGTAAAAATGTCTTCAACACAAAATCAGTGGGTACCCTCATTAAAGAATCAATGGCAAGCGACTCACAAAAAGTAGTTGAGGGTTGCTGTTCAGACATGGCAATCACGTTCAGTGGACTATCTCCTAACAACATGCAAGTCATGATGTATGGTGTTTACAGGTTAAGAGCATATGGACACAGCTTTAATGATGCATTAATGTTTTTGCCACCACTAAACTCTGATAATGATTGAACAGACCAAGCTTTACCCTTAGACAGGCGAAGGAAGAAAGTGGCTGAGAATTACAGCTTGATCTGTGTATATGTGTAATTTAATCTTGTTCTGTGTACAGCGTAGGGGTTATGATTTTTTTTTTTTCATTTCATGGAACCGTATCAGGACTGCATATTTGTCTTCTAACAAAAACTGCAACCCATTTTCCACAGTAATTACTTTTGCACTCAAAATCTATTTTTCTAAATGTCTGAGAGGTGGGTTGATCTTTTCAGTTTCATCGGTATATAAGCTTTGTACAATTCTACTGGCCTGCTCCCTATGGGAGACTGTAAATGATTTGAAAGCTAAAAAATGTCACCTATATGTTGAATAGGTTCACTTAATTCTCTCCCCCAAGCAATGCGCACACGCTTATTTATAGTAAGGAAAATAGGAGTGCTACCCATTGCAACCAAGCAAACGTTGGCTTTTATTTTGTAACCTAAAGCCCCACACTATCTGTGGGCCCTAACTGGCTGTTCTGGGCAGTCCCTCTTTTATTTCATATAGAAAGTTGATGTTAACATTGACATACAATGGGAAACACCTCCACTTTTCCTTTCCTTCAGCGTTTGTGCAATAAGCTGATCGTGCTATGTTACAAAGTGCTTTTCTTATATTTCGTTATTACCACTGACCGCCAACTCCATTACCTCACATTCATGTGCAATCAAAATGGAATGGATAACATGTACATCCAAATCTACGTCTGCGATGTTTCTTATCATATTATAAGTAGCCCAATATTTTGAAATTCATTTGAAAGAAAAAAAAAAATGTACCAATGTGCCAAAACCCTGGTTTAAAACTGCTTTCTGAGCTGTCTTTTTTTTTTTTTATGTTTTTGCCCAGAATTGGAACATAATTGTCAACATTAAAGTAACGCTACACTCAGGAGTTAAATCTTAAAAATACATTCAAGTACCTTAACTATTAACAATACTGTACTTTGTGTATAACTCGGCTGTAGATCCTCAAATCATCTCTGAATTGGTGCTGACACTGTCCTTCTTTCTTGAGGGTGGCTTTTGTTCCCCATGGTCCCTGTGTGTTGTAAAGTAGTCACCGCTCCAAGCTCACTCCCGTGATGGACTACAATCGCACATTTATTTTACTAATTTATATTGGGATTGTAGTCCATCACAGGAGCGAGCTTGGATCGGTGACTACTTTACCACACACACGGAACAAAAGTAGCCACCGCTCCAAGCTCACTCCCGTGATGGACTACAATCGCACATTTATTTTACTAATTTGTATTGGGATTGTAGTCCCATCACAGGAGTGAGCTTGGAGCGGTGACTGCTTTACAACACACACAGGGACCATGGAGAACATAAGTAGCCCCCCTCCAGAAGGAAGGACAGTGTCAGCACCAATTCAGAGATGATTTGATGGTCTACAGCTGAGTGATACACAAATAAGATTCATTTTTGTTATAGTTAAGGTACTTAAATGCTTGTTTAAGGTTTAACTCCTGAGTTTAGTGTCACTTTAATAGCAGGATACTTGGTCAGTTGAACACTGCCCTACTTGGATATACAGTAGTCTTCTGAAGCAGTTGTAATTGGATGCTGCTATATAGCATGAACAAAAGGCTGTTCAATACTTTAATGCCTCTGCATAATCCCCCCCCCCCTTTCTAGAGCTACTCTTGTGTGAAGTAATCATATGCTTGTAGAGCTGTCATTGATTCAAAGCATGCAATAATTTAGCAGTACTTTATATTTATGCTCATCTTCTCCGCGATATGTTAAAGTACCCATAAACATGAGATGATCAATAATAGCAACTCTCTGTGTGCTGTACCTTCTCCATGGCCATAAAAATGCCTGCTTATTTAAACTTGTAAATGTTATTGCAGTTGTCACTGCAGGCAGCATTATGGTCAAGCATTTATTAAACGTGTGTGTGTGTGTGTTGTTTTGGGCAAAAACTTATTACCTAGCATTAGTTCATACACGCAGTAAAGAACCTACTTAAAATAATATTTGGGATAGTTCCAGAATTTTTGACTGTCCGCCAATAACCACTTGACAAAATCGACTTAAAACCACTACCAGGCACCTCTACAATATGTCCTCTGGTATAATTTGCAGAAAACAGTCAAAGCCACTTATGCAAAACAAATAGCGTTCTAATGACAAAGGAATACATTTACACAAATTAATTTCAATGTAATGCATGATCTTGTCTCATAAATGTAATTGAATTTGTGCAAAGAAAATGTTGATTTAGGATTAGGAAAGTCCATATTTTGTCTTTATTGTGGACAACCGGCAGAAGATTGTTGTGGTTATTGAAGCCTTACCTCCTAGTTTAGTAGGTTGAATAGTTCAAGCAGATCTCTCCGAAGATTAGCAAGTGTAACATCTTTGCCAGTATACCTGCTATAGTGGTTGTGGAGTGTTTCTACAGCCCTGTATTTATTTTGTGGCCCTTAAAACTGGTGCAAACGGACACTTGACATCTCTTTCCATCTTGCAATAAATAAAACTCGACTCTTTGTGATTGGCTTCATTAGATGGCTGAGACTGTGATTATTAAGAGAAGACTTTGTGGAAATGGTTATCAGGAGATGGCTTACCTACGTTTTAAGAGCACTTGGCTGTGACTAATAGAAATGTCTTTCTCAGCCATTGGTGAACACAGGAAGCCTTTCATTTTTAGGTTATAAAGGCACCAACTACAAGAGCATTGGATGCTGCCAAACAAAAAACTGTAAGCCATCCCATGATAATTTCTCCTACTGCCAGCATTTTTTTGGAAGCTCTGGGCTTTCACCAAGGTGCAAGCCCCAGTATTAGCTCTACTGCTCTTTCATGGTATTCCCATTGTGGGATGTGTTGAGGGAAAGTCATTGTTGGCACTGTCAGACTTCATGGCTTTGACTGTCCAGAAATCTTAATTTGGTCCTGAACATCTCAGGCTAAAATGTTACTTTCACAGGAGAAACTTTAAACCCTCCAATCTCAAATTCAAGCTCGCCAGTCCACAAAGCGTCTGACTTTCTGCTTTTACATGAGTCTTGGGCTGGGCCTGATGGTAGTCTCTTTTTGATGCAGTTTTATTTACAAACTTCTAAAACACAACATTCTGTGTGGTGGGACAAGTCAGCCAAGTCCCTGGAAAGGATTCCTTTAGCACTGAGGGCAGAGTTGTCCCTGGCATGGTGGCATAGGAATCCAGCTCTGGATTCAGGGGACATTCTTCCACCTCTCTTCTAGAAGATCCACGTGATGGATGCAAGCCTGTTGGGCTTTGGAGGAGTCCCGGACACCCTGTCAGTGCACTGGACTTGGTAGTTGGAGGAGTCTTATTTCTTCCCGGGACAAGAGAGGTAGATGTTGTATGCTGACCTAGTAAGATGTATGTCAGATGGGCTCTGTCAGGATCTTCTGTTTTTAAGAACCGATTTGGCCTGCTTTGCTGTCACTGGCTTTAAAGAAATGGCTGTTGAAATCCAGGTTTTTAAAGACGGGCATCTCTGTGTCTGATTCCTATGATAGTTCTCTCTGCACTGCTGTTTAAACCCAATAGCTAAATTTCTCTCCATCACTTACAAGGTGGTATTCCTTTTAGCCATCATCTCTGCAAGGTGGATGTCTGAACTGGGGGCCTTATCCTGCAAAGAACCCTTTCTGGTTTTGCAAAGGGACAAGGGGGTGTTGAGGCCCTTGACTTCCTTCTTGCCTAAGGTAGTTTTTGCCTTTTTAACTCAACCAGGACATCATCGTTTTTCCAGCCCTCTGTCAGGCTTCAGTTTGGAAATTTGGAAATTTCCTCTATCATCTGCAGGTGCTTAAGGCTGTGGAAGCTCTTTTAACCACTGTTTCTTTCAAAAAGACTGATTCCCTCGTCATTCCCGATGGTCCTTGCAAGGGTACACCTAGCTTCACGTTCCGCCATCTCTGTGTCTGACACAGACTATCATTTAAATGTTGAAAAGCCTTCCTGTGTCCCTCAATAGATGGGAAAGAAAATATAATTTTTATACTCTCCATCAAATCTCTTTTTTTGTTTTCTTGGACGGACAAGGGTCCCACTCCTTTTGAGTTTATGATCATACTCTCAGCACTTCATAATTCCAAACCAAGACATGCTGGTCGTGGAAGGACGGGCCTAATTTTATTTTTTGCCAGTGTTCTATCCTACTGTAGATGGCAGTATAACCCAAACGTGAAAGACTTCCTGCATCCCTTGGACTCCAAGAAAAGGATTTCACAGCGAATACAAAAATCCTATTTTGAATGTGGAGTAAAATGAGACAGTGAGATGCATTGCTGAAAAACTACCCGTATGTGCTGTGGTCTCATGTAGATAGATAATCATCTTGAAATGACAATCGTATCTGACCATTTGCTGAAACCGAGCATTGTCCAAGCCTAGGGTTACTGTCAACTAGTGTGGGAGATATCTGAGATAGCTTCTGCTTGTCACAACTTGGGTTCCCAATTAGTGCTGGAAGCTGATATTTTCCATTCCTAGAAAGAATGCTATTACAGGTGCAGGGGATACCTCATGCACAAGGACATGCCTGCCATAGAACTAACACTGCTTCAAGGAGCCAGGCAGTGGCAGTTTCCAGCAATGGAGGGGAGCCCTGGAAGTAGCAAACAGCCATTCTGATAAAGTATATTAACCTGTACTCTGGTCAGGCAAGGAGGCTGTCGCTGTACAGCAGGCACCCAAAGGTGTCTGCTCCTACCGTTATTGCTCGGCTGGTTTGTCCTGGGGAAAAAACACATGCACACACTAATTTTGCCTCCAACAATGCACTGCTAATTGCCTGATTGACTTATTGCCAGGCCTGACCACTTTGAGTTTCAGAAAGTCAGTACTGTATTTGCATAGATTTATCAGTGGGTCTTCTGCAACACATTACGAAGGAGAATGGCTCATGACAGTAGCAGCAGTCATTTTCCGGTGCCTGCTGTATAGTATGTGTTTTATATGTCTTGTCTGACTATCATACAGATATTCTGATGTAG